CATGTTGAATTATATCATCTTGTGTACCGCCACGGCTTTGAGGCGCCAGGCTCGTACAACATAATTTCGCGTTTCCCGTTTAATTTCCTTCTTCGGAAGAGTCGCAGACAACATCTCTCGGAGTTCTATCGAGAAACATTATGACTTTGAAATATCGTCGCTTTTTGTATAACATTGGCACTTCCCCGCATCTAAATTCAATTGCCGCGCGGATTATCTTTTTTGTATATAAAAATTCTACGGAGGAAACGTCAGCAGGCCTTCAATTACATTGAAATTCTCGGGAAAAAAATGGGACGAGAAGAAAAGAAACTTCGAGAACGAGTCCGACAATACGGTTTTCCTTACGCACTCATGAACGCAGGCGTTTACACTCGCTCATCGCGCTGATGCGCGGAAACGCGGTATCCAGCTGTGAGAACATTTTAATGGAATCTCGGATGACGTGAGATCTCTAGATAGTCCGCGACCTAGAAAATACCTGGCGAGGTATTAACGAAAGCGAGGGTACCTCCGGGTACGCCTCGACGCGTCGTCCGGAGAACGGCGTAGAAACGGCGCCGTTTATCCCTCGCTTCCCAGCCACCTCGGATGTCGAACGCGCAATTAAGCCGTGCGATAAATTCAGATCGGAGCAGGCGATATTTAACGGGGCAAAAAGTCGGATCGTGCTCGGAGTGCCTTAAAGTGGATCGGACGGCTTGACCGCCGGAACCGGCCGCGACACGACTTCATTCTTCATTACGCGGGACGAATGAACGATGATCAAACGAACAAGAAGAACGGATGATTGGCTTTGCGTAATTGAGGGATCGATATTCAACTTCCTGCGATTTATATACGCACCTGATACCGAGTTATCGATTAGGTTCTGGCACGCGTATGGAATAAATTTAATTAATAGGGCGATATAATTACGGAGAGAAATTAATAATCGTCGGGTCGACTTGGAATGACCTTGGATTAAAATGTTAGAGAAACATTTGCTTTAGTGGTTTTCTTAATTTTGCGACACGCTTTTTACAGAAAACAGAATATCAAATTTTGTTAGGTTAATTATATACAGAAGATTAATCTATTTATGCATAAATAATGTAGACAACAAAAGTTGCAAAAGAATTGAATCATTATTATCGATCTAACAATATTTTTTTCAAATTCTTGAAAATGAAAACGTTCGAAGGTAAAATATCTCAATTATCTTTTATCTGGTTTCTCCTTCCTCATAGCTTCATTTCAAATAACATCCATGACAATTGTGACGCAACATCATGATATTTTATCTGAACGCAGAGGAATTCTTTATCTTTATTTGTATAGAGTAGCTTTTGTAGCGCGTAGACCAAAGTGCAGCGGGAACGAAAATAATACTACGTGTGATTGCGATCTTCGCTCTCTACTGACCTTTGCGGTGCGTGTTCTGGACAAGCGAACACCTTGGATATCTGGTTGAGTTCCTTGATCCTCTCGACGCAGAACTGGCCGCTGGGTAAAACTACCCCATTTATCTCCAGGCTGCCGTCGGGCTGGAGCGTGGCGTCCACTGCGTTGCCCAGAATCGTGAAGTTTTCGGATTTCGGGCAGGTCGGAAATCCGGCCACGATCTCAATGGTAGACGACGCAGAAGCGTTTGGCAGAAGCGGTGGTGCATCCGCGGTCTCTTTCAAATGTTCGCAGGTATTTCTGTTGACAAACGGAATATTCATTGCGAATATTCATTACGAAGTTGCTCGATAGGAGTATAACTATAACTGTATCCATATTTCTTTGTTTATACTTGTGTGTGTTAAAGTATCTTCAACGTCTTGTATGATAGAAATGTCACAATTAATAATTAAAGGGAAGATTAAAAGACTATTCCTCATTTAATAATAAGTAATCACACACATAAGCATATAAAAAATTGACAAACATTTTACTTTGGCTTCGATATTACTTCATATTATATATTCGTTTCAGTTTGTAATATATTTTTTATCAGAATTTTTTTATATATTATTTAATTTAATTTTTATTCTAGAATATGTCAATGTAATTGCGAATCGTCAACATCGTTTGTTGGAGTTTATACTAGAACTTGTCGGAAAACGACATACACGCGCTACATCACATTCTCGAATAAAACCAGAATGTGTTTCGTAAACGCCAAGGTCACTCTGCGTATCTAACGCATTTCACTCAAACGGCACCCGGTAAATAAACAAGTTCCTATCCAATGGTTAAGTTACTTACAAAATCTCTCTCCACATTACTGTTTCGTCAGAGAGGTAAATTATCAAATAAAACATTGCGTTTACATCCCGTAACATCCGGATAAACGATAATTATTTAGATATACTATTAGTAATACTTTAGATATACTTTAGATATACTATTAATAATATTTATATGTATTGATATTTAATATATAATATTCAATCATTGGCGATATTCGTTTTTTAATTAAAATATATAATTAAATTTAACTTTTTATTAAAATTATTATCATACTACATCCTGGCACAAATTGCTCCTACTTTTTCTCATATATATAAAGTGTCACAGAAAAAAATTAATCTTAAATCAAGACGAATATTCTCACGTACATATAAGAATATTACAATATTTTAAAGAATTTTAGTTTTTTAATTTGATTGAATTTATTTATTTTGATTAATTTATTTATTGACGCAAATATTATTTCATGCCCAAGATTAAACATCTTCTATATGAAGCTTATAATATTCTTGCTTATACATGAGAATATCTATACTTGTCATCAATTAAAAAAAATCAAATCAATGCAATTCAAGACTAAAATTTTTTTCAAGAAGATTATAAGATAATATTCATGTCTATATATGAGACTATAATCTTGATTTAAGATTTTTTTCTGCGTAGACTTTTTTCTGTGTATATTATTTGTATATTTCTTTCGAGCGCACACTAGTAATCTTTATACCTAAATGTACATTTTCAGTACAAAGAAAGAACCTAAAAAACTGCTGCGAGGGACTTACCCGCGTTCGTGAAAAGTGGCGTTCTCGCCGCAGCATCGTCGCACTCGTGGTCTCATGGTCGCGGCGGCATGATTGCCTGCCGATTTCTTCGGCATGCACACGAGCAGGGCGTTCGAATCGGCGCAGTATCGGTCGGCAGGAAATTTGTCGGAACTAGCGGCCTCGGGTATCACTTCCCCGTTGTCGACGATGATAAACGGATTGGACTTTCGGTAGGGCACGTGAACCAGCTCCGAGAAGTTGTCGCACAACGGTCGGCGGCCCTCGAAAACTTGCCAATGGTCGGGCAGATATTCCTGGAGCGTTTGACCTGTCGGCGAGTAAACCAGCGGCAGCCATGGTTTCGATGTTGACACGCAGATCGGAGACGAGTTGTCATCTGACAGATGCAGCTCCTCTTGATTCCGGCAGCACTTAAGGATCGCGAGCTTAAACTTCGTCAAGTCCTTCGGCTCCGAGACGACGACCGTCGCGATCGCCACGAGCGCGATGACGGAGCGCAAAAACGCCTTCATGACTCTGGAAAATCCGCGACTGTGTTTACTACCCACAGTCCCCTTCGAAAACACTGCACACTGTCAAGCGTCACGAAAGTTCAAAACTTTCAACCGTCGGACGATATATAATTCGCGCACCAAACGCACTCGTATCGATCAGATCGATATCATCCCGCGACGCGAATCAAAGCGATCGACGAAGATAGTTCGGAAGGAACATCAAAAAGACATAAAAAAAGCGAATCTGTGTACTCGCCGCTCGTCGAGCACAACTCCCTCACTTGGTGGCTTCGGCGTTACTGAAGCGGCCCGACCACGCGGCTCGACTCCGAGCCACCGGCGGCAGCGTGGCTCGAGTGTGCGCGCGCAGCCGCGCGCCACGCTCCCGCCCTTATTCGACCTTATTCAGCCACTGCATGCGCGCGCGCGCGCGCGCGCACACACGTTTTCTTCTTTCCTCGGCGGCACCGGTGGCGACCTTCACTCACATCGCGTCGACGAAGGGGCGAGAATTGGCGACCACGTGCCTGCGCCCCACTACCGGCCGCGCTGCAGCCGGAAGTGCAACGGTAACGCGCGGTGACGCTATCCCGTTTGCAGCGACGAGTTGTCTTATAAGCTGACATCTCGCACGCGAATCGAGAGAACCGCGAGCAGGGAAATTTGTTTTATCAATATTTTTTTGATAGGCAGACTCCATTTTATCAAATTTTTATCGACTTGAAAGGACGAAGAAAAACCCGGACAACACAAAGTCTAAAGTCAGGTCATAAGGATACTTAAAGACATATAAAGATTTTAAAACACTTTTCAATAATCTAAATAGTCTAAAGACGTCTAGAAGACGTTTTATTACTTATGATCTGATTTTAGACTTCGTGTTGTTTGGGTAATCACTTAAGGAGATGCTAAACGAGCGAACTCCAACGAAAACGTTTACACACATGTACATCTAAACATATATAGATACGTTTATGTGTACATACATACACTCAACATACATTTCTGTACACACATAATACACATGTGAGCGAATTTTCAGGCACGCTAATCTTTTATATCGTTTTCAAGCTTAATTGTAAAAACTCTACATTGTTCCTGCATGTAATTCGCACTTCCTACCGGTCTCATTTTGTACAAATAGGCTGCCAAATTTTTATATGAAACAAATATTCGCATATGTTGACAATTCTTGACTCCATATTAGACTAAGAGTCGGTAAAAAAGATCGAAATTTCTTAAATTTTTTTCGTTCTCGGTATAAAGTCAACTGGTATGACATATAGGTGCGTATACTTTAATTATGGAAAAGGATTTTTAAATTTGCAATTGTAATTAGGAAATTAGCGTACCGGAAAATTAATCGGTTTGGTCGATAAAACAGAACAGACTTTAGGATCCCCTTAAGAGGCAGGAAAAGTTATGGAGACTATTATTGTAGATGAGAATTCCTTTTCATCCATATTACTGCTAAAATATTGCAATGTAATTGCGATATTTATAATTAAGAGAATCGCTTGTGTAAGTTGCTGTGGAGTGATTTTTTTCTAAAAGAATTAAAATAAACAACTTATTTTATATATATCATTAATATATCATTAGGTTTATCCTATTAATAAAGTGCAGATACTTTTATTAATTATAATTTTTTAAGAGTCAAATTAAAAAATCCGATTCTGTAATAAATTTCATAGTTTTATTTAACAAGTCTCATCAAGATATTGCTCCTAGGAGATAAAATATGGTCAAACATGTATCTATATAAATAATGATAAAGAATAGATGATCTTATTGGCGTTGGGCCCATCACTCTTGGCTATCGACTCCTAAAAAAATATGTGAGTAGCATGTAATTATATTTTCAGAAACGTAATAAGATATTTGCTAAAATTCCAAAATTAAGAATTTAGATATCACAATTCTTGCAGATACGATATTCTTAGCTATCGATAAACTATTACAATACATATCAAGATAAACCATATGGACAAGTTGTGAAATAAAACGCATCTCAATCTGCGAGCTCGCGCGTTTTCTAAATTTTTGCAACGATCCCGTAATCACTTTACGACTTTACTCTCGCTTTCGCCGAAGGCGAACAATTCTACAAGATAACGAACGTGTGAGAGAGTATCGCCGTCGGTACTTCCTGAGAATCAGAGAGAAGATCTTTACGATCCACGCGGAGAGAAGTTTCTCGCGCGAAGGGAAAGGGCGGTCGAGAGAGTGCCGGAGGAAAATATACAACGTGCGGAATGAATCGAGGCGATCTGAAATATGTATAGTACTTCTTGCGGCATGACTAAGCGCAGATCCTGCAAAATATTTCCAAGAAGCGATTGCGTGCGGATAGTGGAAATTTGTGGAAATTTGTGGAAATTTGTGGGAAAATGTACAACCGCGCGTGTGTCCTCGTCCACTCGATCTCGATAGAGCAAACGTCATCGTCCCGGACGTAACGGACGAGTATGGCTCTCTCGAGATGCTCTCTCTCTCTCTCT